GAACCCGTGGGATATGGGCTGAAATGAAAACAGGGTCTCTCAACTTCGTTATGCCTTGAGAATACCGAGTGTTGTAGTGTGACGCTTAGGCTCAGTTGTTGACTCTTGTATATATGCCTTAAATTATATGTTCTTAACTTGGCTTAAGTGCTTTGACTGGAGTGTTTTGATGATCCAATCTTGAGTGAGTCATGTGCCATGTGTGTGTAAGGTTTGTTGTATTCTGTGCATTGCATTTGATGTCTAGAACTTGCCCCATGTGTTTGCAAAGCGAAATAGTAGTTTTGTTCAGTCTTGGAAGTAATATAGGCATTTCTTTGTTGAGCCAGATATGTTTATTTTACCCGCCTAATTGTTATGTATCGTAGTTAAACCCTTTGAGCCTGTAATCATATTTCTTTGGCAACTACATTACAAGCCTTACTCCTTTGTTTGAATTAACTATCTATTTGAACCTTTTAACCTCTCATGAGCAATTGAATTATTATGAACTTTATAAAAGTTAAAGTGTGGGGTGGTTGGTTTGAATTTTGAGTGGAACTAATGAAATAAGGAGAAAGGTGCATTATTTTAAAAAAGTAAGAGCCACTTGAAGTGAAAAAGAAAGAAAAGAAAACAAAATAGTTGTATTGCTGTGAAAAAAATAATAATAATAATAATAATAAAATATATATATTCCTTGATGAGTGGTGACTCTTGATGTAATTGTGCTTAAATAATTGGGAGTTAATGTATATTGATTTGAAGGCGGAGTATGGTTTGACATAAGTGTGGGGTTCCGACTGCTAAAGTGCATGCATTAAAGTGCTTAGGGAGGTGTAATCACTCTTATATCTAAATGTATCCTACCCGTCTCGCAGCCTACATTACAACCAGTTAAAAGTCCTATCTAATCCTTGACTGAATGAACTCAATTAGTAGAGTAGTACACTACGGGCAAGCCTATGGTGCATCTTTTATGGCACATGAATGTCGTTTCTGAGAGTGAGTGAATTCTGTCTATCTTGAAGTTCCTAATTGTTCATGAATTTTATTAATTGCGGAACGATTCTCTTTTGTTGTGGGAGGGCACTTGATTCATGAAGGAAAGGTAATTCTTGACCTCTGTATTAGAGTAAATGAGTAAGTTGTGAATAATGTGTGATGCTTTTGAGTCAATTCTTGAGGTGAAGATGTTACACTATTGTGCTTGGTCTATTTGAAATATTCTTGGTATGATGAGTTAGGAAAGTCGCTTAGTGAGGTTGTGTCTATGTAAAGTGTGGTTTGTTTGCTCGGGGGACGAGCAATGATTTAAGTATGGGGCATTGATAGTAGGCTATAACTATGTAGTTTGGCCACTATTTGCACTCTAAATTGGCTGGACTTCACTGATGTTTGAGCGTTAAATGATAGTAAATTGCTTTGATCGAGTATTTTTATGCTTTGCAAGAGTAATTCCGGGCTACAATGAGNCGCAAGTCAGGCAGAAACTGGCCAGAGTGCGCGGCCAGATGCTCGGTCACCTGCCCAGGTGCGCGGCCGTGCACGTCCTTCCGAGAAAAATTATTACAGGGCTAAAATTATAATTTCAGAGGCGACTGTCCTTGACCTATATGAAGCTCAGCTCGTCCAAAAAGAGGGTATCTTGGTTTTTAGGAGAATTTTGAAGGCAAGAACAGGCAAGGAGCAAGAGAAAAGATTCGGAAACGAGTTTTTATCTTTCTTTCTCCCCTTTTTATCATTGATGATGAATTTTTATGTTGTGATTGTTAAAACAATTATGAGTAGCTAAATTCTTTATTCTAGGGTTTGATGGAACCTCTTGGAGGATGAATCTTTGTTGCGTTTAATATAAATTTGCCATTGAATTTTCCCTACGTGTTCAACTACGTGATTATTGTGGTTGATTGAAGGGCCCTCAATCGGTTATGCCTATTTAGTGTGTATTACTTGGAAAAAGGGTACATATTTAGGTATTTATTGAATAACATCACTCATAACGTATATGAGGGATCAATACAGAGGGTTTAAAGGTGGAATTAGGACTAACGAAACCTTGGTGCGATCGCAGTGAGCGGTAAACGAGTGCTAGCTAGCGTAGTTCAGAAAAATACGTTTAGTAAATTGTTATATTTGCACGATCCCTTCAACGTCTTCGTCATTGAATGACAATGTTCCCTCTAGCACATAATCCCGAGTTCATTTTTCCCTTATGATAGATACTTTGGTGCGCTTCAGCATCGACCCCTTAGGAACATTGACCCCACCGATGATCATGTTGATGACGTGCTGAGGCTCCTCCTATTCGGTCTGTTTACCATAATCTCTTTTCCTAAAGTGGTTCTTGGCTCGATCGCTCAGGAGCTCTCGGAGATGCCCGTTATTGAATAGCCGGGCTACTTCATCTCCCAATTGTCGGCAATATTCTGTCCTGTGACCGCGATTGCCATGATATTTACACATTATGTTAGGATCCCTTTGGGTTGGATCGGACTATAAAGGTCGGGGCCATTTGGTGTCTCTGATACGTCTGATGGCGGATACGATGGTGGCGGCGTCGACGTTAATGTTGTACTCTGATAATCTTGGTGTTTCCTTCGGCCCGATGGCCCTGTCGAAACCATTTTTGCTCATGAGTCCCCGATTGTTTTGACCTCGGTCACTTCTTCTTTCATTTTTTACGGGGGTTTGTCCAGATCCACTACCTCTTCGGTCTTTATTATATGGCTGATACCGATCCCTGTTCGACTGTGGTTCACGATCAATGTCTCTCCTGACTCTGTCAACTATTCTGGCGGGATAAACAGACCCGGATGGGGCCCCAAGTTGATCATCTTCGACCCTTTTTGATTGATACCGATTATGAATCGTCAACCCAAGTGACAGTCGGGTATTCCACCAGATTTTGCTTCAACTATTGTGATGTCAACGAGCTTCGAACATTGAGTCCCTGGGTGAAGTCCATCCATTCCATTTGAAACCGGGACACAAATTCCCTAAGCATATCATTATCCCTCTGCTTTACTTTGAAAAGGTCTGCCTTGATGGTCTCGAACTTGATAGCCCGGCGTGCACTTTTACGAATGAATCTGCAAGCTTGGATAAAGTTTCCCCAAACTTTTTCAGCAGGACATACTCGATCTCGTCATCCTCCAAGTCGTTTCCTTTGATGGCACATGTGTAGGAAGTCACATGCTCATTCGGATTAGTTGTTCCGTTGTACTTAGGAATTTCAGGCATGCGAAACTTTTTCGGGATCGGCTTCGGAGCCACGCTCGGAGGAAAAGGTTTTTGAACAAACCTCTTGGAATCTAGGCCCTTCAATATCGGAGGTGCTCCAGGGATTTGGTCAACCCTGGAGTTATAGGTTTTCACCTTTTTGTCATTGGCTTCAATTTTCTTCTCCCCCGATTCTATCCGTTTTGTCAACTCTTCGAGTATTTTTATAATCTCGGGATTAGTCCCCGATTCATTTTTATTCGTCCTTTCCGTGATCGGTTCATTTCTGCAGGTGACTTCCCGGGGTGGCTCGGGCTCAACCTTGCTCGGTGCTCGGCTTTGGTTCTGCAACTGAGCTATCGTCGCCTGTTGAGCATATAACATTTTGAAGATCACTCGCAGGCTGATCCCATCGTTTTCATCGCTGTGCGTATTTGGGGCAATTGATCAAACTTCTCTGCATACGCTGTTCTCGGGATCAGTAGGCAAATTTGTATCGATGGCCACATGCGAACTAGCGTCGATGGGGTCCGCCACCGGAACTCCGCCGAGATCGACTGGGGGCACCTCGTTACCGGGTGCTGCATTGTTGTTTTCGCCATGGTGGCTGGACTCCGTGTCCGTGTTTAAAGGGGCAGACTTTTAGTTTAACATTTCGATTTTAACCTGGAATAAAAAATACGTCAAAGAACAAGTGTAAAATAGGGTATGTTACGGGAATATCAAATTGCCGTTATTATCCTTAGCCCCACATTGGGATATTTCGACCTTCTGTTGGTCATGCTGGATCGTCTGACAATATTCTTCGAAGTCATTCGAGGCTAGGACCGATTCCGGGATCATGGCCTCGATATCCTCGAAGGTAGGCGTCATGCCCCCGGGTTCTAGCCCGGTGGGACTTTGGCTCGATTTTGGTACCTTATTGCCATATCTCGAGCCTGAATTATCTCGTCGGAGATTAGGATGCACCATGAGCTCGATTTTACCGGTATACAAATACAAAATTTTATGTGAGATTAAGTGGGCGTTTGGACATAAGAATTGTAAAATTCCAAAATAGGGTGGAAATTTTTTCAAATGAAAATGGTATTTGAAATTTAGAGTTATGTTTGGACATGAATATAATTTTGGGTTGTTATTGAAGTTTTGTGAGTGATTTGAATGAAAATTTTGAAAAATAGCTTTTTGGAGTTTTTTCAAATTTTCGAAAATTTCCAAAATGCATTTTCGAGCGAAAATTGAAAATTTTATGAACAATAGTTGATTTTAAAAAAAAGTGAAAATTTTTTGGAAAAAAAGGAAAAATTTCTTATGTGGGCTCTAAGTTTTCTTATAATCATATCCCCAAACTACTCCTAAGATTATCAATTAATTGGTACCTTTATGTTAAACAGCTCATCATGAATGCTTTGCAGCAAAGGAACAAAAATTGAAGTTCTGGGACAAACTTATCACTCTATAAAATATTTATGGACCAAATTTCTAGTTTCGCTTAACCTTAAACGCAACTTCGTCGTCGTTCTTCTTCACTTCGAAACTGGCCGAAGCAGTACAGTGTCAAATTTTAGACAGAACTTCAAAACTATGCAAAAGTTGCATTTTAAAAATATTTATAAACTTATAAAGTGCAAAGTGCGCTCATAAATCGCAATTTACAAATCGATGCGGCATCTCATTTATAATCGCAATAACAGAAGGGGACTTCTTTAAGTAAATGCGATTTACAAATCGCAATAGGATTATGCGACTTATAAATCGCTATGCAGCAATACGACTTATAAATCGCATTCCACTAATGCGGTCGCCTAAATACATCCCGAAAATTCCATAACACACCATCCCATATTCAACAATTTTCTCACAGCAGCTATCTTTTACGGCGGCGACTCTGCTAATCTTCAACTGCAAAAAGGTGTCTTTCATTCCTTTAAACACTCACAAATTTCTATCCAGTTTTCATTAGTCATTTCTGTGTATGATAGTTACGAATAAGCTTTCCTATTACTGACGTTCTTTTAATTTTTCGTAATTTTTGGTGAGAGTATAATTTTTTGCTTTCCCCCTTCGTTTTTATGTCTCCAAAGTCCAAATTCTGCAGATACTGCTACTATGATGCCTAGAAATGCTACTAATTGGGTTTTATACTTATAAAAATTGAAGCTTTCTTTTAGCTACAGTAAGAATACTTCAAGAGAAATTAGTTTCCCTCTATTTCAAGCATTATCGTAGCTCAGTCTCTATTTCATTTTTTGAAGCATATGTAGTGGGGGTCTGGGGAGGGCAGTGTTTACGCATACCTTACCCCTAACTTGTGGAGATAGAGAGTCTGTTTCTATAGATGCTCGACTCAGGAAAGTATAAGCACCACATTAATGAAAAGAAAAACAAGAAGGGACAACACTGAGAAGTCATGGAAAAGCAGCATACTTAAAAACAAGATAGTAAGATGACCAAAATGAAAGAAACGACGGGTAGTCATAGAAAACCTAATACCAACAAAATACGAGAGTACGTACTAGTACTACCGGTATGAACAAGGAAAACCTTTTTGTACTACAAAAGAAATGAGAGAAGTTGGTGTTACTTGTTAAATGTTAATGCCATTTTTCTAAAGAATATCAGTCTATGTGAACACCCAGTTGATTAGTTGTTAGTTATTTCCATGTTAGTGGAAATACTTTGCCAAAATATAGAGATGCTTCTCCTCACTCTTCTTGAAGGTGGAGATTGTTGGATGAAGGTTTATTTACCATAATCAGAGTTTATCATTGCTTATTTTAGTCTCGATAGATCCTGTTTTTTGTAGCCAATTTTGTTTCAAGATACAGAAATGGCGGAATATTTTCTTGTTAAGCATCCTTTTTCCATGCAAGCTTCACGTAGGACTAGGATTGTGGAAGAGCTAAAGACACTATTCTATATAAGGCTAAAATTTTGGTTATCCTTTTCGTTTTACTTATTTGTTTATTTGTTTATTTTTTTGGTTGAAGTCAGTTGATCTCATAGAGATGGAAATCAAGGCCGACGGATGTGACGGATCCTTGGTTTTAATTAAACAAGGAGCTGAGGCTGTGAGTTCATAGTAAATTATTCAAGACTGTTTTGCTATGAAATTTTCTTCTAATTTTTCCCCCCCTCTCTCTCTCTCTCTCTCATTTTCTTTCCGAGACCTCTGTGTGTGTGTGTTCTGTTAGTTTAGAAGTCACTAATCATTATCTGCTCTCTGGCAATGTTCATTTGATAGAAAGTAGTTTTTGACACTGGGATTGTTTCCATGGTGATATCAGAGGGTATTTGAGTCAACATTTCTGGGTAGGAGGTGTATTGTCAAAGAACGGTTTTCAAAGAAATACAGGCATCCGACTTTGGATTCAAAGCTCACGCTTAAACGGCTGAATGCGGTTGGTGCAAATGCTACATGTTCTCTCCTTTTATCTTTCCTAAAGCCTGTGTTGCTAAAAAATTGAAATTCTGGCACAGGAGGCAAGGTGTATGACAAAAGCTAGACGGCTTGGTGTTACTACTCCAGTGCTTTATGCTGTTGACCCTGTTACACATACTCTCACCTTTGAATATGTTGAAGGTCCTTCCGTGAAAGATATATTCCTTGGCTTTGGATTAGTTGGTGTAGACGAAGAGCGAATGACTGATATTGCAACACAGATTGGTAATGCTATTGGAAAACTACACGACGGTGGCCTAGTCCATGGCGATTTAACAACATCAAACATGTTAATGAGGAGCGCCGCCAATCAGCTGGTCGATATTTTTCTCTATCCCTTAGAATATTCCTCTAATTCTCATGATGGTTTTTTCTTCAATTTCTTTGCTTATTTTGGAGGATGAAGTTTTACGGTCACCCTCAATGAGATTATTGTTCAATGATGCTTTTTCTTAGGTGCTGATTGACTTTGGTCTAGGCTTTACTTCAACGCTCCCAGAAGATAAAGCAGTTGATTTATATGTACTCGAACGTGCTTTGCTCTCTATGCACTCTTCTTGTGGAAATGTGGTAAGCTCTGTCTTGTCTAGAGGGGTAACTTATTTCAGGAAAAAGGATGTTAATTTCTTCTTTGAATTACTTTTTTTGGGACTTTTACACATTATATCATTCATGTCATGTGATCATATTATCGCATGAAACATGCACCTCTTCACAAAACAGTATTTTCTGATGTCATTATTAAACAGTTCTCTAACTCTCAGTGCTTTTTTTCTAATACACTTGGGCACCTGATTAATCATTTTACTGATATATAAAGAATCCTTGTGAAGGACTAAGTGCTCCTAATTAGGATACTAGAATGATATCTTTCTTGCGGTTCTGAAACAGTAACCTGGTTCTGGCCGAATGCCACAGTGGGGTGAGGGCACTGGGTTATCGTCTAGCGAATCTCCTTATTTTTTGCCAGAAGCATGTAGATGCTGGATTTATTTTTAGTCTGTGGCATAGCCAAAGCCATAGGACTTTAACCTATAGTGAAGATCAAATTCATACGCTATGGTTTATATATGGTTCACACAGATGGACCAGATACTTGCTGGATACAAGAAATCCTCAAAGCAGTGGTCATCAACCTTTAACAAGCTAGCCCAAGGTGCTGTCGAGTCTTCCTCCATGCCCCTTTCTGTTTATTACCTTGTTGTTCCCAGAATGGAAAGATAATACGGTTCTACTTCTGAAGGTTTCTTGCTGTTTTTCATTCCTGATTTTGTGATCTATTTCAGTGAGGCAAAGAGGCCGAAAGCGCACAATGGTTGGTTGAGCTTCCCATTTCTGCTATCCACATTGAGGTTAGACTTTGTCTGTATGCCTGGCATTGCATCAGTTACGCCTTATTTTATTTCATGAATGAAGAAGCAAATTTCCTTGTTTCCTGACAATATTTTTGGAATCATTGGCGTGTCCCCTGTATTGTTAATTGCTCAGAATAATCATTCACTATTTTCACCTGTACGAGCTTGATCTGGTTCTTCATATTTACTTAGAGACGAACAAAATGTTTGTTCTGCTGTTCTCATGGAGTTGAAGTGTCAGAATATCATGGTTGTCTGGCCTATTTGTTTTCTTTATTTGGGGATTCCAAGTCTAATATATTCATTCACATTCTCGTTACCTCTCTCTTCCATTTTCTTGTTTCTTATGAAATTTTGAACAATAATAGTACAACATATCAATGGCGTAACATGGAAATCTTCAGATATATTGAAAACATAGGGCACATTGATCTACAGGGGGATAACTCATAGAACAAGGTGGCTTATTTTTTACTTGGAACTGCAAGTAAGCCATAGGGCCACATTGAAGTGCCATGTATGTGCTACGGGAATTTTTATTCTCTTTTGTGGAGATCTTCGACCGTAAGATATAACCATGGGCTTCGAGGCCAGGTTTCCTTCACGGAGCTGGGAATCTTAGCAAGTGTTATGGTATTTCAGTTTAGTGTAACTTTATTGCACTTGGATACTACTGGGGTGGGCAAAAGTTTTTGCGCATGTTGTGCTTTAAGAATGGCACTATTTACTGTAAAGTTTCTGTGCATCTACTTCAGAAGTTGCACTATTAACTGTGCTTTTACATGAACATGCCATCTATTCGGTTTCTAGCATATAGTTTCTTATTGTAGGAGCTGTCTCTATTAGTTTGTAAATGGTTGTCTGATTTATTTTCAGTGCAAATCTAGGAAGATCAGATGCCACGGGGCGCGAGAAATCGAAACTTGCTCATTGCAAACACGAATCTGTATTTGTTGCAGTCTTGATTATTGTGATATTAACTTGTGCTGCTACTTATTTGAAGTTGTGCTGCGTCTACGATTCTCTGCATTCTTATTCAATTCTAGCCATCTGCACGTAAAATTTTTGTTTTTCCTTCTGCACCTGGTAAAACGTAGAGCTGTCAATACGAGCTGGCCCAGCCCACTATTTCGATGGGCCTTAAAATGATCAACCCATCCCTACGTGGGTCACAGGCCGGCCTATTATTTTTAAAAATGATTTTTCATATTTTTTAAAATTTAAGTTTTAACCTAAAATGCACACGCGCACACACACATATAGATACATTTACGGGCTAAAAATATACTTGTTGGATATAAAGCTTCTGCAAAACTTAATAATTTTTTACGTTGTTCCAATAGATTACTATAAAAACACAAAAAAAAAGGATAATGTTTCATTCATTAAAAGTCAATACTCAAAATAAATTATTCAAAAATCTTTTCAAGGTGCTCATGGCATATCCATCACCAAAAAAGTATCTTCATCAAGTATATTTGAATTCTCTTGTGAAACAAAAATGTCTTAACATCTTCATTTTGATCTAAATAGATTGATCTAAATTTATAATTATATACAATGTTAATTAGTTAAACATTAAGAAATAACTAAAATTTTAAGAACAAAAAGTATTTAAATTCACATAAAAAATATTAATAGTTTGAGATTGGACTACTCTTCTTGATACTTTTAGTTTTATCACATAAAAAATATTAATAGTTTGAGATTGGACTACTCTTCTTGATACTTTTAGTTTTATCACATAAAAAATATTAATAGTTTGAGATTGGACTACTCTTCTTGATACTTTTAGTTTTATCACATAAAAAATATTAATAGTTTGAGATTGGACTACTCTTCTTGATACTTTTAGTTTTATCAATTTTTTAATATTTTATGTTTTTAATAAAATACGTTTATTAAGCCAACGGGCCAGCCTAGCCCGGTCAAGCCTCATGGGACATGGGCTTACTTGGGCCGGCTTAAAAGCCTCGTTTCTAAATGGGTTCCAAAAATCTTAGCCCAACCCTATTAAATTAACGCCTGGCTAGGCCAACCCATATTGACGGTTCTAGTAAAACATATATATTCATTCATTATCTAAGCGGGAAGCCTGTATCTAATTCAAGAAGAGATTTTTACCTTCCTATATAATATTTGAAACTTATTTACTAAAATTGTCCTAATTTTGTATATTACTCGTCCTAAATAAGTTTTGCTTACAATATATATAAAATATACTATTAATGCCTTAAATTAGGGGATTCAGTTACCATTTTTGCCTTAAATTAAGGGATTCACTTATATCATTTTCCTTTTTTCTCCCCTCTTTTTTTTAATTATTAAATTAAAAATATATTTATCTGACAATAAACATCCTTCGGCGACCAAATTCATAAACGATCTACATCCTTTGAGGATAATCCATTATGCCATGGTAGTAATACTTTTCAAGAGACATAAAAATCACTGAACCCACGTTTAGATCTGATGCTATAAATTTGGTCACCTTCTAATTTCTCCAACCATTGGACTGAGAGAAGAAAACTGATCCTAATAGATTTAGAAATCTCGGAACCAACAAACTGTTAGTGCTCAAGATGGAAGACATATTATGTCAAGCGCTGCAATTTATTGGGGTCCAACTTCTGTTCTTTCTTCACAGTAAGCATTTGAGAAGCTGGATCCAATACCCAACCCAATTTGTATGATATAACAACATACAAATTAAAAATAAATTTCGTACAAATTTGATACATCCACAATAACATATAAACTAAAAATAAATTTCATATAACTAATTATATATTATACAACTAATTATATATTATACAACTTATTTACAACTTATCTACAACTTTCATACATTATTTCTACCTAGTTAAATACAAATACAATATCATACAACTTAAATATAAAATTTATACAATATGTCTTTTGTATATTTTGTATCTGATTTATATATATTTTGTATGTGGTGTGTGCTTTTTCCTCTCTAAAATTCCAATGAGAACTTACTCTCTTAATACAATTTTGATACATATCATTATGTAAAAAGATAGTATTGATAACTTAAATACAAATTTTATACAACGATTCATACATTATACAATTATTTTTCAACTTTCATACAACATTCAAATAATAAAAAATATATAACTACAACAGAATACAATTTACATATAATTATACTACAACTTTACTATAATTTCGTAAATATATTGTATGTCATGTGTTCTTCTTCTTCTTCTTCTTCTTCTTCGACGAGTTTCAATCTGAAATTCAGCCAAAATCAAGTCTAATCTTCACCAAAACACCCTCAAATTGAGATATAAACTCCAAACAATATTCTCAATTGTTTACAACAATACCCAATCCAAACAAATAATGGTTTTTGAAAACCCAAATTCGATTTCAAAGCTTCAAAGCTTTTTAATGACTGTCAATGGTGGAGAGTCAAACACCTTCAAAATTTATTGATTGACAATTTCAATTTGAACACCAATTGTGCAACATGAAAGGAAATTGCTAAATTAAAACGATTGAAATCTATTGATAAATTCTATTAAAACTCTATACAACAAGAAAGCATAAAAAATAGAGAACATCAAATGAAAGTAAAATTGAAAAAAAAAAAATAGAGAAGGAGAGTAGAGAGACAGAGAGAGAGACAGAGAGAGAGAGAGAGAGAGTGGGCAAGTATAAAGGGATAAGGTAATAACTTATATTCCTTATTCACTTCCTAATATAAAGGGATACTCATTTAAAACTTATTTGTATATAATTGATAAATTATATATGACCATGTAATTAAATTGAAATTTGAATAGAGATGTAATAAGGTTTCAAATAGTGTATATGAAGGTAAAAATCTATTAAGAACCTATCTAATGTCATGTGAAGCATGTGCCAATTGAACTGTAACCGTGGTGCTTAATGTCATTTTTAGTTTTTACGTATTCCTTCTCAGCTAATTTTGGAATGCCTTTTTTCACCTCAAAATGGTCACATAAGATTTGACTGTTCCTTTTTTAAAACGTTAGTGTTTACTATATCCCCATTATGTGTAAAAATAATACGCTATCCAGTTTTCGGACTAGTAATTGAAAAATAATCAGTATTTATAAAGTCATTGAAAAATAGTTACTATTTTGCTACAACACGGAAAGTTCCAACATAATATACTGGAGATTGGTGCACATATATATGAACTTCCAATATATTATGCTGGAACTCCAGCACACGGAAAGTTCCAGCATAATATACTGGAGATTGAAGCACTTGTGTATGAACTTCCAACATATTATGCCGGACCAGTATATTATGCTGAAACTCCAGTATATTATGATGGAGTTCCGGTATATTTATACTGGAACTCCATCATAATATACTGGAGTATGCTGGAAGTTCATATATAAAATATTCGAACTCCAGTATATTATGCTAGAATACTTTCCGGATTTTGAACAGTGTTTTCGTTCAGATTTATCTTTACATGAAAAGAAATTTCGATTACTTTTGAAACTATGACTATTTTTCAATTACCACTTGTAAATCTGGCTATTTTTGAATTTCACCTTTTGTGCTGCAAAACAACCTAGCCCAAGCCCTAAGGTGCTAAAAACACAGTAACAAACACTACTAGAAAACTAGCATATTTCGTCCACGGCATACCGACCGAAATCGCTCGAAAATTGCTAAATTGGTCGTAAAAGTCAACAAAAATATTTATGACAACGGAAATAGTGGTCCCACGGCAAAAAAAATAAAAATTTCGACCGATTTCGGTCGCAAATTGGTCAATATTTGACCAACACATGGTCATACTTGCATATAATGTACAGAAACAATTTTTTATTAAACCTTTTCCAAATTTCCGACAAAATTCGGTCGGAAATTTTGAAATTATTATTTTCCGCCCAAGGAAATTCGTTTTTAATATAATAAATATTATATATATTTAATTAACCAACCGGAATAAGTTATAATTAAATATTTCTGACCGACTTCGGTCGAAAAAATAATTTAAAAATAATTAAAATATAAATTTAATAATATTACCAACCGAAGTCGGTCAGTTTTTTTCACCCTTTATATAAATAGCTTTTAAATAAATAATATTTAATACTTATTTGATATATATATATATACCCGACTTGTCGTTTCAAGAATTTAAGTCCCGTTCGGTGGCATAAGGCCTAAAGCAGCTTCGTATTACGCGTATTGACTTACGTGCGAGGTTGAATTCAGTTACCGGATGATTTAAAGTGATTTGGGACACTTGGTCCCTAAAAAGGAAGTTTAAGTCTTAGGATTTTGACCGTAGTCGGAACTGTATGAAGACGATTCTGGAATAGAGTTCTGTCGGTTGCGTTAGCTCCGTATGATAATTTTGGACTTAGGAGCGTGTCCGGAAAATTATTTGGAGGTTCGTAGTGGAATTAAGCTTGAAATGGCGAAACTCAAAATTTTGAAAAGTTTGACCGGGGGTTTGACTTTTTGATATCGGGGTCGGAATACGATTCCGAGAGTTGGAACAGCTCCGTTATGTTATTTGAGACGTGCCTGCAAAATTTGACGTCATTCCGGGTTGCTTTGTTAGGTTTCAGCACGAGTTTTAGAAGTTGGAAGTTTTGAAAGTTCATAAGTTCGATTCGTGGTGCGATTTGTATTTTCGGCGTTATTTGATGTGATTTGAAACCTTGAGCGAGTCCATGTTAGGTTGTGAAACTTGTTGGTATGTTTAGACGGGGTCCCAGGGGCCTCGGGTGTGTTTCAGATGGGCTACAGACCATTTTCTTATATTTTTGAACCGCTGTTTCTGTTT